CAACTCCCAAATCCTTCTTTGCCCTAATTTAGTCTAGGCAAAATTTTCTATTCTTTTGTACCTCTGCTCTACTCTTACATAATTACTTTGATTATTCGATGAAGGTAATCTTGAATTTAAATGCTTTCTACTCAATGGTAGCTACAACTTCAAATTTATAGTGTATATAATCTATTAGAAAAGCATTCTATGTCAAGATTCATATCTCTGAAAAATTAAATTGGTGTTAACCAAAAAGCTAAACTGTAAACATAAAACAAAGTTGCAGTTAAGTTCTCATTCAAGCCATTATAAAGGCATGTGTCACTACCAAGACAGTGATGCCTCAGCTAGTGATACGCTCACTCAGCATTACTATTTGATGACTGAGAGACCAGAGCTGTGGTATATTTGTTGTACTGTAAAAAATTCTAAAACTACTAAGTTATAATTTAAGATTGTTGGGTTTTCAAACTCAAAGCTTGGCATTCAAGTAAGGCACGGGAAGCTTTAAAAATAGTTATATCTCCATATCTAGGACCAAGGTTGGCAAACCTTTTCTGTAAAGGGTTGATACTAAATGCTTTAAGCTTCATAGGCTACATGGTCTCTGTCATGTTTCCTCAAATCTGCCGTTGTAGCAGGACAGCAGCAGTGGGTGTTATATAAACAACATAGCTGTGTTCTAGTTGGCAAGCCAGATTTGGCCTGGGGGCTATTGCTGGTTAACCCTCCTCTAAGGACACAGGGTGTGTGAGCATGTTAAATAGGTCTGTGTATGTGGGTAGGTGTGTAGACAAGCATGCCAGCTACCAAGTCTCTGCCTCTGCCATAGCCAGAGCAGCTTCATGGGCACATGGTGAGGGCAGTCTCACAGGCGCTGTTTAGAAGGGTTCCGCCCTTGCACTTCAAGGCTTTATGGCCAGTGTCTTGAGATTCTTAGCGATGTGCTATTGGAGTTCGTGGTTCATCAGCACAGTCTGATGGCACACTGGAACCTCTGCTCTCAGTGCTGGACTGGGGTGGTGTCAGAGTGTGCTCTCCTCCACATTCCTCTTTGGGCCCCCTGCCTTGCTACAGATGCTGCTCTCCACCTAGTGTGGGACCAGGTCATGGGTGGGGGACTGTGTTCTGCTTTTGTGCTTTGCCCCTGACAGGAACCCGGATGTAAGCCTTCGAGGAAGGGGTGTTGGGGTTCAGTGTGTCTACCCACGGCATCTCAAGGAGGGACACGAAGGGACACGGAGGGACCATCCTTGCTCCAGGCTGGCAGGACCACAGCACACTCAGTGTGTGGAGCCTCCTCTGATCCATGCACCAGCTGTGCCTCAGTGCAGAGGTTGCAACTTTGCAGGGTGGCCTGTCAGACTTCCCCCTACCTGAGGGCCTGGTGTGTGGGTCCTGTGGCTGCAGGACAGAAGGACCAGAAGCTGAGGGCCACAAGTGCACCCTCAGTTGTGGGGCCCTTGTGGGATCTGTACCTCCCCAACTGTATACCTACACTGGAGAAAGTTAGGAATTAACGAGCAAGTAAAAAACACTGAGACAAAGAAAAAACTAAAAGAGAAAGAAAAAAGTTTTATATTTTAGTACCTTTAGCATCACTTGTTTCTTGATTTCTGAACAAAGAACTCTGTATTTTTACTTTGCATAGGGCCCTGGTAAAGAATCATCTTTGAGATTTATCTACCAAAATGGAAATTGAGAAAGAGAATTCCACTTGTGTATCCTTTATTTAAGGTCAGCAAACCCCTGTAATGCCAGGGCTTGCTCAATATTCCAAAATCTTAAATATACAGATAGGAAATTAGGTATTTCGGGTTTCAGATACTAAGGAGCCCCTTTTGGGATTGAATGATCAGAAATCCTATATGGCAGCCATTTCTTTAATGAGTTTGCCACAGGATTAACTCATATTTCTTTTGAATGGTGATAAGTCATTTCTAAAGCACAGTGAACTGTTATGAAATAAAATGGACAACAAAGAAAACTAAAATTTGTCTGAGTGTCCGGCATTTCCTTTTAAAGAGAGCAGTAATGCCACATTCTAATATGCAAACACATACTTGTTTTCCTGATTTTAATAAACCAATTATAAAATAGTTTTGAGACAAAGAATTTTAATATGAGACCCGGCATTATTTGCTCTGATATTAAGGAATTATCTCGACCGTTCCAAGGTGTAACAATAGCATAGTGATCATGTGAACATACACACTGGTGCCCAATCAAGTACTTATGGGTGAAATAACAAGCACACTGTCTAAGACTGACTTTAAAATCTCTGTAAAAGTAGAGGAAGACAAAAGATGGAAAAAAAAAAAGACGATGACAAAAGATGAAGGCAGTGACAAGGAAGGTGTAGCAGTTGAGGGGGGAAAATGTGAAACAGACGGAATAGGACCAGCAAAATGTTGGGCACAGATAACAGAAATTCAGGGGTTTGCTCTAGTAGTCCTTTTGCCCTCAAATGTTTTAAATTCCCACGATGAAGGATGTGTACATATGCCTATAGTTACAGAAATTTTCTAATACAAATCGGGGCACAGATTTCTTTTCCTCCTCCATACAAATGTCATTTTTTTGGTGTATGTGTACGTGTGTGTGTGCAAAAGGCAGCCTGTGAGGCTGTCAGGAGTTCTCTGAGCTGAAGACATACAAAGGAGTTGATGGGAAGGATAATCTGCCCATCGGTTCCTGACACAATATAAAAAAGAAAAGAAGAAAGTGGGTGGAAGAAACTGCCATTGTTACCCTCCTAACCTTTCCATCTAATTATGCCAGAGTCAAGGCTCAGGTCACAAGGAAAATCATTTTGGTGGTCAACCATTTGCCCTATTTTGTATACATCAAAAAAGCTCTTGTTCTCACCACATTCCAGTCTCACAGCTTCCCACCTACTTTAAATATCTATCGAGTGGTCAGATTACATAAAATATTAATAAAATGACTGTATCACAAGGAATACTTGTTTGCAAACCGAGAGATAGACTTCTCATTGTACTGAGTTGTATGATATGCAACACTATAAAATAAAATATGCTTTACACTATTGTAGGTATTTCAGATGAATGCTGAACATGTCCAGCTTTTAAAAGTTAAATGTAAATTTCTCTCTTGAGTGCAGATGGCGGCCAAGCGAAATAGCTCTTTGGTCTTGCAGACAGAAGGTCAGGTCATGGCTGAAAGACCAAAGAACAATTGCTGCTTTGCAACTCCAAATCATCCATGGAATGAGACACCACTACTTTCTTTTCTGAAATTGTTGGTTCAATACAAAATAGTTACAAAGAGTACCTATAAGATTTCCTTACATTCGGTACAAGAAAAAATGGTAACAAGTACATCACCTTGCAAACATCTTGTATCTGTTCAGAGGTATTATTTCAAACCTTATGACCTAAAAAAAAATTGTATCTCTATCTAAAAATGTATCACTAAAAATCGTTATGAAAACTCCCAATATTTCACTATAATGAGGAAATGTCTAAAATGAAAACTCTTCCTTTAAAATCTTGCAACTGTAGCCTTCATACCATTACTGTGGAATTCAAATGAGATCGAGTGCTAAAAGATAAAGATTACAAGTACTTTAAAACAGGTTATTCATTTACAAATGATATTATACTCTTATTGATGCTGTGTTTCTTTCCTCTAAAGCATTATAATTTTATATAATGTAGAGATTCTTCACTGTGGTACTTTCCCATTTAGCCCAAAATATTATGTTGGCAGAATAGTGTACAATAATACAAGAGGTATTTAATAATGCTAGTGATTATGCTAGTCTAACTTTTAAAATGCAGTATACCAGGAAAGGAAAGTTCTCCCTCTTTGACTTGGTAGTCCTAGGCTTTCAGGATCAGATAGAAAGGATTTTCCATTCCACTATCAGGTACGCCCCCAACTGGATGAAATAAAGTAGTTTCATTACTTATATGTGTTAATAATGAAAAAATCCTTTGAAAGTGTAAAACTGTTTATAACGCTTTGAACAGAGTGGTACAAAAGGAGATTTAGTCTGGATTTTAACTTAGTATTAAGGACTTTAGTCATGACTTAAAAAACTTTTTTGCAGTAAATTTTGTTATCACTTTCATTTCAATACTTTTCTCAGTTGTCTGTATCATTTGACGTAAAGAATAAATGGGACTTAAAGGGGGGAAATATAAGAAATACAATAAAAAACTCTGAACTAGAAATATACTTGAAAAAGTTTTACTTGGAGCTACATACTTTTAAATTATGGCAATTTCTTTAAAATATGGCCACTAAGAAGGGAGTCTTATTTTCATAGAATAAACAACCTGCTTTCATTAGATATAAAGAATGCAAACCTTCAAAGGCCTGTACGGGAATGTAAAAACAGAAAATGAAAAGCAAGGCTTTTAGATCTGCCTTTCTAAAAACTTCATCTCCGTTGTCAGTTAAAATTGGAGCACCTACATGATCTCAATAAAGTTACAACATACAACATCTGTTCAAGCTGAAGTTGAAGTAAGCAGCTTTTTCCTCCCTCACATTTCTAATTCCACTGTATTTAGGTTTCCTAAGCAAACATATTCATGGTTATCTTAGTGAAAACTGGTTTCACTCTGCCAACAATCAATTTGATTGACATATTTACACATCAACCCATCTCATCTTACACATTTTAAACTTTTTCATTTAAAATTGGATGCAAGTTGGCATCTTTCAAGAACTTTATGTTCATATATTTTAGGTTCAAACTGTGCATTAGAACATTTTTGTAACTTTTGTAAGTAATAGATACACATATCCAAATGTATATTTATGACCTGTCAGATTGGAATTTTATATGCATGCAGTTGTAGTTTCACCACTTCCTGTGAAAGGTGATAATTTTAAGCAACTATAAATGAAAGTCTTTTAATAGTATAAAGTGGATCACTGCATTAGTTAGGAACAATATGAGAAACAAATAACTTAGGGATGAAACCAAATCAACTTCAGAAAGAATGTTAATGCTAATTGGACCTTCTACTTGTGCCCTCTCTTACCTGATCTTTCATTTCAAGCTCCTTTTTAGTTTTTATTCTGTACTCTCTGTGCTCCTTTTCTGCCTCATCCTTCTCCATTTGGGCTTTATTCAGCTGGAAGCGCAGTTCTCCATACACCTGTTAGATTGCAGAAACTACATTAATAGCTGCTGGAATCTACCCCGCAGTGCTTGCAAGTAGATCTTTTGGTGCCCCCTAGAGGTCATATAGATGAAATGCAATATTACTTATCTAAAAATGGCATTTTCTACTACAATGTTCAATAGAGCCTGTTAAGATTTGGAGGTATTACTGGGGATCACTGAGTCTAACAGTTTCAAATTAAAGATAAATGCATAAACTAAAGAATTTAAACTGAAGATTTAAGCAATATGCCCCCAGATAATCATGTCAATTGAATGTTATCAATCAAAATGCACTATCATCCAAATTTTAATTAGGTAAAATAAGTAAATAAAACAGGTACAGTGGTGCATGCCTGTATCCCAGCTGTCTTGAGACTGAGGCACGAGGATCACAAGTTCAAGGCCAACCTAGGTAATTCAGCAAGATCCTGCCTCAAAATAAAAAAGGGTTGGGGATGTAGCTCAGTAGTAGAACATTCCTGGATTCGATCTTCATTACCTCCTTCCCCCAAAAGCAAATAAGACATTAAGTTATATTATTATTTACTGAATTTTTTATTTTTTGTGGATAAATACTCAATCTTTATTATAAAAATGTCCCTTAATAACTTTATCAGTTAGGCTTTTATTTAAGGAAATTGATAAAGTTTTCTCTGTAGTGAATACCACTAATGAATATACTATTCATAATTAGTGTATAGTACATAGTACCTACTGTGAACTTTTTAGATAACATCAATCTTAAATAAGATAACATCAGTCTGCACTATTAAGTGCACAACGCTACTGAAGTTAAGGAACATTTCATGGAAAAATTCATAAACTGCATCTAAAGACATTCTATACTTCAGACTAGATCATTCAACATAAAAAGGAAATGCACATTTAAGTAAAATAATTTTAACATACAATTAAATGATGAAAATAAATTGTATCTTCGAAGTGTTGTATATCATTCTTTGTATAATTTATACTTTTTCCAAGCCCAGAGCCTCCACAGACGTAGAAATGTAATTTGAAAATGCAATTAGCAGATAAATCTTTTTTTGGTAATTTATTTTTTAAATTGACACACAATATTTGAGTTTTTTATGTGGTACACTAAAACAATTTGTACACATGTATACAATGTGCAAGGATCAAACTGTCTCAAAGAGTCACCATTATTATCTTTACCTTAAAAAGGTTGGTGACCTTTGGGCTCTTAATTGTGTTTTTTTTCTTTAAAAGTAGATATACAGATTAATGAGTTCCAAGTGAAGAGATTATGGGTCTTTTAGCATAACTGAGAACCTATCATGAGACTAATATACAAGCCTGCTTCTAATTTACAAAACTGGAGTTTTAAAGATCATATACTACCTACTGGTTATATTTGATGGCAACTTTTCAATTTTAATACTTCTCCAAAAATCATGATTAGTTTTATCATTACTAAGGCATTAGAATACGATATAAAATCAATGCATTTCCTATGTTTAAGTAAAATATTATTTGAAAAATAAATTAAATGTAGCTGGGCATGGTAATATGTGCCATAGGCCCTCCTGCTTGGGAGTCAGGAGGGTTGGGAGTTCAAGGGCAGCCTGAGGAACTGAGCAAAATCTCATCTCAAAATAGCAAAACACAAAAACAAAACAAAACAAAACTAAGTTCAAGTTACAGTAGCAAGACAGAAGAGAAAGTGTATGCTTTTCACGGTGGCAATCAGAAAGCTAAAACAAGAATAAATTTACTAAAAATCCTACTTGAGATCTTGCTGCCTTCAATACGTGAGTTTATTCTTTCGCTTTCAAAAATTGTAAATTTACAATTTTTTATTTTAAAGGTAAATAGAATTTAAAAACTAAGAATGGCAGAAATTAGAGGCTCCTAATTTATTCTCCTTTTCAATTCTTCACCATTTCAATCTGTTTGATTTATATCTACGAATGAAGTGGGAACATCTCAAATTGGTAATACCAGAAAATACCAATTACACAACACCAACACAAACATTATGTAGTAAGTGCCTAAATATCAGGTCCTGTTTAAATTTTTTTCTTAATTTTACTTTTAAAGTTTCTTTGCCTTTCTACTTGCAGTTCATCATTTGCTATGTTTATCCATAACATTAAAATTTCATCTTAAATAAATCAACAAATTAATTGAACAAGAATTATATTATCTCAGGATTGGAAACAAGACCAAGACCATTTATTCTAATCGCTCTATTGTGCTTGAGTCCTTTGGATAGTTCTAGAGACAAGAACTCATTCTTTGTTACTATATTTCATAACTCATTCACTTACTACTGTATTTCAACAGAAAGTTTTCCTTGCATAATGAACTGAAAACTGTCACCATAGGTTTTACCTATAAGTCTAGGTTAAGCACTATCACCTCTCTGCCCAGTCCCCTCGCTTGAAACCCTACATCCACACAAACATACCAGATATACCGGGAAGTACAAGCTTCTTAAATTTCAACATTAGCTAGCTTGAATTTTAGAAAGCAAATGGAGAACTACAAAAATTGAAGAAAGACGGTAAAGACTCTCTTTCCTAATATGTAAGTTAAATGAATTTTAATTAATGACATATAAAACAATAATGGCAAAAAACTTAATCAAAATTTAAGAAAACAAGGAATAGGTTTGAATATTAAACAAACTATCTTTTTTTTGATAAAGACTACTAAAAGTGATTTCCTTTATTATATTTTTCATGCCCACATTTAGATTCTTAGTTTTAAAGTAGTTGACTTGAAATCTGGGTGAACTTCTAATATTTATTAAAATAGAAACCTAATATAATAACCTTGTCCAGTTATGAACACTAAACATTTCAGTTCTTGGTTTAAAAATCAGTGAGATCCATAGCATTGACATTATGGTATTCAGTGTATACACTGAAACGTCAATACAACAAAAACTTGTGACATCAGGATCTTGATATTAGAGGCCAAATCTGAAAAGGAGTGGGAGGTAGGTAATTTTTTAAGTTAAGCATACTTTTCAAGTGTCAACAGATATCTTTGACAATTATTGTGAAGTGCAACCCTATGTTATTTATGGCAAAAAAAATCATTCCTAACTAATTTAGTATATGTGCTGCTGAAGTGAGCATATTCCTAATTTAGAAATATAAATTTTAGCAAATATTCAATAATAAAAGATAACTCTTATTTACCAGTCTGTCTTTTCCACTTAACCCTTACACTCTTCAAGGACTTTGTGTCTAATTCATCTTTGAATCTGCAGTGCCCATCAAAGGGGGGTGTATAGAGTATGTAATTAATTGCTGAGTGACCATTAGATAGATTTTTACTGTTCTTAAAATAATAAAACTTTTCCACCCCAAATTTCTTCCTGATAATAGTAAGAGCTTTGCACATTAAGAAAAATTTTTTTGCTGGGCATAGTGGTACACATCTGTAATCCCAGCACTCAGGAGGTTGAGGCAGGAAGATTAAGAGTTCCAGACCTGCCTGGGCTACACAGGAGGTTCAAAGCTGGCCTATACTACATAGTGAGACCTTGCCTCAAAAAAAGGGTTTTCTTTTCAAGTAAAATATATACTTAAGTAATCATTAAACTAAAATCTGCTTTCTAACCTTTGTGACATCCTTTTCCTGAGAAGCGAGCTGGTTTTGAACTTCCTCTAGGTGATTAGTAGCAGAAATTTTCTCCCTTGTAACTTTTTCCACCTGGGACTCCAGTTGGGCAATATTTTGACACAGGGTCAACATCTGTAAGAGGAAATAAAAGTTTTAAACAATAAAAATATTTGACAAAATGCATACTAAAGTTTTATTAGAGTCTCACCATAGATGTTCAACTCTCTGTTAAGTCATTTCTCTGTGGATTGTGTACATCTATTTCTCTACTTCTTCAACTCACCTATCCCTTAACCTGCAATATGTACTTCCCTCCCATTCATTTCCCTGGGCTCTAACATTATTATGGAAAATGTTTAAGATTATTAAATTTAAGTTTTGTTAGAAACCCTAAGATGACAAGTATTAGAGACACAATTAAGCCATGGAACAGACCATCATCAATAAATCTCAGAGGAGGTACTGAGGAATAGGACAACTCACAGATCCTTGTCCCACATGGACTTGCATAAAAGGATTGATTAAAGAGTTCAAGAAAAAGATATCTTTACAGAGTGCTACTGGTCTACTGTGAATTCCACACCCCCATCCCCACACCAACAAAGAACAGATTCTAATGTAGTTCACTTGGTGGGAAAACCCCGCCTGCCCCCACCCCCCATTATCTAGAGCGGCTCTATTTCTCCTGTAGGGTTCAGTTCAACCATTATTTCCTCTCCCCTTCCTTGATCTCTAGTTACCAGCATGAAACAGGTGCTCCTTCACATCACATCACAAGGCTCATACTCAGCTAATGTGAACTGGGGGACTCATGCCTGTTGTCTGCAGCTCACATTCATTCTCATGGATTGCTGCCCTTGCTGGACAGCGTTCTGGCCTGCACTCCTCCAACCACCTCAGTAGATACACCTTAATCATCTGACTTCTGTTTATGGCATAGTACTTCTTACACTGTTCTGATTGTCTCATTTCCTCATCTTCTAGAAGTTCTGCAAGGGCGTGTTCATTAAAGGCACCAAATGTTCAAAAAATGAATAATTAGAATAAATGACTTTTCTAAGGAACTCTGAATATCAGGTCCGTAGGTGTTTTTTCCCTGATCAGGATTAAAAATGTTTTCAAGATCTTAAGAGTTACCCTTTATAGATTTTTAAATTATATTTTGTTCTACTCCAGTAAGTTAAACTTTTTGAGGCCCTTTCGTAGTCGAATTGCTGTCTTAAAATATAAAAAATGATAACCCAGAGCAAAACATAGGGATATCAGTTTTCAGCTGTTAAAACAAGAACTGGTAACAAATTAGAAATAGTGATACTTGAAATTTACCATTCTGTGCTGACAATTTTAAAATTTCAGTTTTAAAATTGAAGTCAATAACTAATAGTTTGTGGTAAAATTAAGACCTTTATGGTAAATTAAGAGCTTTATGGCAATAAAACCAAAAGTTAGGTATCTGCCTTTGAATTATATAAATAGCTAAGTTGACCCATTTGAAAATAAATGAGGCTTGGTAGCTATTTGAAGTTCAGGAAGATGAATTAATTAATTTTTCTGAAGAGTGTGGATAATTACATATTTGACTTATGGTTGTTTACTTGTCCTTATCATCAAAAGATTACCTACAAATCTAATTTGTACATAAAACTAGTTTTACTAATAACAAACTACAAAGTATTCTTCTGCACATAAAAATCTAAACCTAAAATTAAAGGTCAAAAAATACATAGAACAAATCAAAAGTATCAATATAATTTCCTTAATTTAAGAATCCAAGTTCATGACTATCCATATCATGAAAGTATAACTACAGGTTTTCTGAAACCACATCATGACAACAAATTTTAATAACCAGCTATTTAAAAATCATGTATTACATATTTATGAGGAGCTCTACCTGATGGTAACATTAACATTGTAAAGTTTCTGAGGTAAACTTGCAGACATTTATTTTGCTAATTGTAAATTCTGAGTCAGTTTCTATTACAAGGCATGTAACTCATCTTTCCTCTTCCTTAGGACTCCCTCCTTCTACCACCCATCAATTCTTTCCTCTGCCCACTACCTGTCTGCTGCCTCCTGTCACCCACTTCCTGAGGTCTCCCCTCCTGTTGTCACACCTTCTTTTCCCCCATGCCCACCATCTGGAAGTCAGCATCACACTGCAGGAGCTTCTCCATCCACATCTGTTGCAGAGCCAGAAGTAACACAGACACAGCTGCAACACTGCTGGATGTCCAAGGCGTTGACATCAGGTAAGTCCTTTAAACTTTGACAGGGGCAAGCAAGAGACAAGGACACCCAGGTTGGGAGAGCTTGATAGAAATTTCTGCAAAGCAGTCCCTCGTGTATCGGATACAGTAGAAAGTGGTACTTTCTGTACAGGAGACACAAGAATTAAGGATTCCAGCAATGGGCTATTGTCAAGCGAACCAACTGAGAAAATGTGAGGAGGGTAGCCATTCAGCTCATTAATTCATTAGGTTATTCGTGGAGGTCTTCTTTAGCACTAACGACCTGGCACTTACAGTGTTATGGTTAACTGGTTAGTTTTCCGAGTACATTATGCTCCCGTACTAGGCAGAGTGATACATATTGTCTATTTCAATCCCTTTGAAGAAGAAATTATATTGGATTTGGATGGATAGGAAACTGGATTAATTTGATGAACTTTCATTATATTTGATGAACTTTCAGTTCAGGTGAAACTGAATTCAGAAAACTGTTTGCCCAAGACTTTCACAATAATAAATAAAAGGTAAAGCTGGGCTTCACCTCCAGGTCAGGTCTTTCATATTTGTAAAATATGAAGTTTTACGAATATGAAGTTTCAAGAAAGCCATCCAATATGGCTGCTTCTCTTTTTCTCTAAAATAAGTGAAACTAAACTAAATTTTACTTGGTGACCACCATAAGCTAGGCAGTATGGTGTTTTCAAAACATCATTCAATCCTAAGCCCATAAAATATTGTCAGCTTTACTTTTTACTCCTAAAACTTAGGTTTAAAAAGTGTCAAGGTCACAGAAAGGTCAACCTGGCTTCAACCCCAAATCCCTTTCTCTCCAAACCCGTTTTCTTTGGTGAGAGAAATTACTTGAGTGCTAGGACCACTGTCAACTCTTTAGTCATAGCTCTTTATTTAGGGCAGGACCTTGACATTAAAGCTTACTGGAGGCAAAATGAAATTGAACGACTCAGTCTCCAAAATGCATCGTATTTCTGTTGCTACCTTTTTCATAAAATAATTGTTCGTTTTAGTGAGAGGTCCCATTACACAGGAATGCACCTGGCATATTGCCAGGAATATTTCAGGCTTCCTTTATCCTTTCTTATCAGGAATCTCCATCAACATGTTTTTATGTACTAGAACTACTCAGCAAGACAAATGGTTTGCATTAAAAAAATCCCCAAAATGAAAATTCCCAAGGTGTGAACAATAGCTGGTCTTTGCTATTGATACCGTTCTCTCTCAAACACAATACTCAATTCACAACTTCATCTGCTGCCATTCCTTATCGACACTGCTCAAGAGCCACACTCCTTTTCCCATACTTTGCTTCTAAATCCCGCCTTGACTTCCAAATTCAGTTAAAATACCACTTTGTCCACATAGATGTCCATGACCTCTTGCAGACAGATCAATTCTGAGCCTCTTGACTCTCAGCATTTTACTCCTATCTTTCCAATGGCCTAGGGCTTTTTTGGTTTTCCTTGTGTATCATTCATTTATTCAATAAATATACATCTGAGCACATTTGATGTGATAGGGATATCCTCAAACAGTGAGTACGTCAGATCATTCATGCAAGGGACTCCCAGTAATAGGGGAGGCAAACTATTCAACAAAAACTTGCAATGAATTGAGTTATGGGAACCCACGGAGACAATCCCAACTCAGCGTTGGGAGGCTCTCAGAGGAAGTGGTGTCAAGAACTCTGAAGGACCATTTAAAGAGGGCAAAGGAAAATTCCTCCAGTCCTGGGCAAACCACATGCAAAGTCATGAAATGAAAAGAAACATGATGGGGAATTGGCATGTTTGCATGTTGGGGAAGTGCAAGGAGGTCCATATTGTGGGGAGGCAAGAAAAAAATAAAAGAGAGAAGAGACTAGGGAGCCAAAGAGAGAAATAATGTGGAATCTTTATGTTATGCTAAAGGATCCTAAATTCTATCCAAGGTTGCAGAGAGACTTGAAAGAACTTTAAAGCAAAAGCTGGCATATTGAGATGTTCATTTTAGAAATATCATTCTGGCTGTACTTTCGAGAACAGATGGGAAAGAGGTGAGAGTGGAGGCAAGGACACCAAAAGGGGCTGCAGGAACCATCTAAGGGGTAGCATTCGGAGGGAGAGACCAAGTGATGTGAAATGCCGAGGGCCTTGCATCTCCAGAATTTAGTGGTGGTGAGACGTGGACAGAGAGTGAGGAGAGTAAGGTGACAAGATTTCTGTGCTGGGTAACTGGATGAAGAGTGGTTCCACTGGGATACGGAAGATAGGGAGCTGGTTTGAGAGCTCAGTAGAAAGTTAAAGATTTAGGAATCCATACTACACACATGGAATTAAAGTCACAGTAGTGCTAAAGATATTTAAACCTGTCTCACTGCTAACTAAACTACAGAACTTTCCATCACTCTGATTTCCGGATGTGTCTCTTTCTTTGTCTCAAAGGTGCACGATATCATTCTCCCAAATTAAGAATACAGACACCAAGAAATCCAGAAAAGAGTACTTTTAAGGAGAATAAAAATGGCAAAAAATCAGTATATGCAGTGCAGGAAGGTCTCTGGTGAGCAGAGCAATGGTAATTTCCATGGCTATGGGCACAGAAGCTGCAGTGCAGTGGGATAAGAGCAAATGGAGGTAAGAAAACTGAGACCGTATGCATGAACAAATTTTTCAGGAAACTTAATTAGAAACAGAAAGAGCAAGGAGGCATATGGGATTGCTGAGGTGGTTTCCAACCTTGGCAGCACACGGAATCATGTGGGTAGCTTGAAAAAGTACACCTGGATATTCTGAGGTAGCTGGTTTGGAGCACAGTTTGGGCAACGAGATTTTTGTAACTTCTTGTGTACTAAAGATTGAAACCACCAGACTAGAAAGAAAGACTGTTTCTTTGAGCAGGTGAAGA